AGGGGCGTCGTGTGAGTGTATGGGGATTTGTGGGTCGGCGTGGGTATGGGAGTGTGCAGGGTTTGTGGGGGAGTGTGGGCCCCCCTGTGCACAGCCCCCTGTACAGCCCCTGCTGCCACACACCCCTGCCACCATGTGCCACCCCGTGCACAGCCCCTGCTGCCACACTTCCCTGCTGCCTCCTCCAGTACAGCCCCCCCACTGCCACACAGGGACCCATGCATAGCCCCTGCCATCATATGCCTCCCCCACGCAGTCCCCACCAGCACCCCCCCATGCACAACCTCCACTGCCACACATGCCCCCCTCAGCATTCCCTGCCACTGGCAGGTCCTTGGGGAACTCCTGGCTGCAGCAGGCAGATCCCCACTGTTGCATGGCTTCAGTGAATCCTGGGGGCTGAATGTGGCGGCATGGAGCTGGCCCCTCCCAGCCTGCTGGTGTGCACCTTCAGGCCAGGCTCGGCTGGTTCCATGCCAGCACGTGGGGCTCGCAGCCCACCCTGCTTTCCTGCAGGCAGGAGCTCCCCATCCCACTCACCAGCTACACTCCAGGGAATTATGCGGTATTATGTGATTATGCGCGGGCATATATTTTACACACAAAATTACAGGGGTGCATAACGGCATAATTCCCTGGGGTGTATATTGTGTTAAGTTACAGTGGTGGTATCTTCTCTATAAGCAAAAAAATGAATAAATAGCCTTTTATGAGGTTTTACCTCCACAGGTTTCCTGGGCTACTAAAGATGACAGAAAGAAAGCAAAATGCATGTTAACACCTCCAGTGATATTTTAGTGCATATTTTATGCACGTGCCTGCGTTTGAACACCTTGAGTATTTTCATTCCATTTATATATTCTGCTGAGACGTGGGTTGTAAATTTTGGATCCGGAGCTTAACTATTCCCAAATTTAGGGGTATCAGGATTTCAGCTTGTTTTGGGCTTTTTGGTCATGGTACGCTTCTGATCTTCTGACCACAAGGTAATCAAAAGGTATTTTCTCAAAGAAGTGATCAGGAGTCAGCATATAAATTGTTGATATAGACTGCAAATGTAAATTAAGTGAAATAATGCATTTTGGTAGATCTGAATTACTTATATTTTCCATTGCTCTGTTTTAATAGGAAAGTCCTCATGTATGTTACATTCTTTACATACCATATGTTAAGATCTGTGAAGGCTTAGTGCATTTTTATGGAATGCATCTACAGAATGTGAACCCAGAATAAATAAGAAAGGATAATTCTTAAATAAGATGGAACTGCTGCTGTTCTCTTTATTATTTTTTCCCTTCTGGCAATTGGATTGAAGAATTAATTTAGTTACTATAGTGTTAGGTCTGAAAAAATACCTAAATTTGCCATTTTAATGGTTGTTCATGATCAGATCCACTGTTCTACAGGTTATTGCCTTTTCAATAGGGAATAGTACACACAAATCATGTATCTTCTGAATACTGTTTCTTCTCATTTAGTTGCATTTTTGAGTCATACATATTCCTAGCATTTATAAGACAAGTAGGGCTAAATCTTTTTTTATAGACTATAAAGACTTACAGTAGTAGTACTAGTGGTAATCTAAATTATGTTTGAATCTTAGGAAAACCTGATTGTAGTGGACCAGTCCCACTGCTGCTGTGGGGTAGCAGCTGTCAAGAAATGATGTATAGTTTTATAGCAGGATTACTACTAGTTAACAGGTTTTTAGCATTTAAAGGGATTCGTATGTGTAGAATCTTTGTCGAACTAAATATGTTTGCCTATTTTCTACCATATTTGCTACTGATTATTGTATCATTTTTTTTTCTATATTTGATCCATTCCAATTTTTTATATTTAATCTGTTCCATACTTTTTGCCATGTATGACTATTATTTTGCATGGCTTGACCTGAAATAACAAAACTCTGAATAAAACATATAGCATCTTAATAATACAAATTTAAAATTGTCAATCTGTTATTCCCCCAGGTCTCACTACAGCCAGCTGAAGAAAATGAGTGATCTGGTGGCTGTATGGGAAGTAGCTCTAAGTGATGGTGTTCACAAGATCGAATTTGAACATGGAACCACATCAGGGAAACGTGTTGTGTATGTAGATGGAAAGGTAAATTATGTGTATATGCAGAATTAAATATTTATATAAGTGTGACTTAAGGTTTATCATAGTCTACATTGGTTACACTAAGATGCTTAATGGCAATATGGCATAGCATTTACTCAACCAAAGTTTAGGTAAGAAGAGGAGACAAAGGAAATGAGCAAGCCAGAGAATTTCAGAAGCTAGAAGAATTGTAGAAAGCAGAACCACAAGTGCAAAGTTGCCAGCTGTCCATAAATTTACAGACAGAGCATAAAAACAAGCCTAAAAATGCCTCTGCACAAGGTTTGTAAAAAATAAATAATTAATTTTAAAAAAAACTTGAACCACGTGTAAAAACTTGAGCCATCTATAAACTGGATCTTGATTGAAGATCCCTCATCAGAGGCAAGTGTTCAGGAGCAAAGAGAGCTGAGCAGAGCTACCTGGCTTCTGAGTGGGAGTGTAGCACTGTATAGGAAATATTCTCTCAAGGTTTTGTAGCCTGTAGCTCTCATTCCCCCCACAATCACGTGCTGCTTCTCCATGTCCCTGCCTGTAACACTAGGATGTGGCAGGGTGGCAGACAGTAATCCTTCTTTGGGGATCTGTACCAGCAAGAAGGTGGGACCATTCGGGATATGGGTTGGGGGGGCAGCACAGTGTGGGGTGCAGTTGAGGGC